GACCATTTGGTAAAGCAACAGCTCGTTGTTTTTCTCTTTTGCCAATCCGCGATCAGAATGGCAATCGGATGTGAGGGCTGGTTTATAGGGGTCATTCCATTTCTCATACAGCAAGTTGTTGGGTTCCCATGGTTCCCAAAATGGGGAAGGGGGGGTTCCCTAGCCAAAGTCACCCAATGCGAATCGACCGGATCTCAGCTTTCGGTCAGTAGTCAAGGTTCCAAAATGTGATCACCTTGTGTTCCAGATCCTTTGGGCCAGGTAGTTTGAGGCAAACCTTGAGATTGCTGGGTTGGAGGCCTTCCATTTTTTCTCCTTCCTATTATTTTAGTGTTTTTAGTTCTTTAGTTGGGTTTCCTGTCTATTCTTTTGGGTCCCGGTCCCCCATTAAAAAACATGGACACTGGATATCAGCCAAATCGATCTGGTGGTGTAATTGGTTTGTCTCTAAAGAGCGCGGGGAATCCCCCCCAAAACAAAATAAACGTTTTCTCTTCAGTTTCCGTTGTGAAGGAACCCCAAAAGGCCACCCTGAACAAAAGACATGGGTGTGTCTTACATAGAATAGGGGACCCCCCAACATTGTAACATGGATTTTGGCGTTCCTTTTGGTTTCCCTTTGAACCAAGTCCAAAACGGGTGCCACCTCAAATGTAAACACGCCCATATTTTACATTTTTCCGACTAGAGGAGGTATGGAGAAATCCAACCACCACGTATTTTTGGAGTACCCCAGCCACCTAAAGAATCAACACAGGAGTGCCAACTCTCCAAAAGCCACCACCTCCATCCCAAAATCTCCCCACTCAAAAAGGGGTGGGGGTGGGGGTGGATCTGTGGATTTGTTGCTTTTCCTTCGGCCCGAGGCCAGCGCCTCTACGGGGCAGGCAGGAGATGGAGGTTGCCAGGTTTGTGGCGGCTCACCTCCTGAGTTGGCTATGGGTCAAAATTGAAGCGCCAAGGGACCGCATATTTTAGTCCATGTTTCCACTTACCAGGGTTGCATTTACGTATTTTGACCCACACCCAGTTGGACCTTAAACCATTTTAGCGCTACATAAGAAGTCTAGACGGTTTTTGGGGCCAATCCGCGAACTGAGCAGCTTAAACCCGCCCCTCCAAGAGCGCTTGACCGGTAATTGCGGATCCTTCTGTCTGATGTTCACACTTTTTGGGATAGTTAGAATGGGCTTGGGGGGCTCTTCTCGGCCAAATTCAGTGATGATCGTAGGAGAAGGTGAGCGGTTCGGAATTGTTTAGCCGGCAGCATCGAATCTCAGGTTTGTCTTGTGGCTTTCGAGCATCTTCGCTGGCTCATTGGATTCGCTCCAGAGACGCTCAGATAATTACTCCCTCCAAAGGCCCCAGAATCCCAACGCCCTGAATCCCCAGATTGTATCAGGCGGCTTTTGGGTCTTTCTTGCAAACCAGCGGCCGGGGGTGGGGGAAAAGGGGTGGGGGGGGGGGTGGAAACCAACTATTCCAAGGATGCCACACCTTTTCAGGTCAAATAATTTTGCTTCTGTGTTTTGGCTGCAAACAGTTCCAAGGCAATGGCAAAAGGCCCTCGAGCCCTCGAGTTCCCTGCCCGTTAGGCAGTCGCGAGCGAGGCCAAGAAGGCACTGACCGCGAGGGGTTCGAATTGGGACCTCAGACGCCTGGGATCTATGGAACTGGTGCGACCTCGTGGTGTTGGGGTCGATTTCGCCCAAGAGGATGGTTTGTGTTTCTTCGGGTGCATTTTTCGTGGGTGAAGTTTTGTGTATATATATATATATAACTATAAGCCAGATAGACGCCGCTCCAAACACAAAAGGGATGGTGGGGTGGAAATCGACAAAGCTTCTGCATCGCTCCGAGGGAAGGGGTTAGCGCGAAACCTGTGGTACCAACCAATAGAGGGAATCCAGGATCAAATTTGATTCCTTGCATAGTTTGACTCTGTTAGGTTGACCAAATTGGCTCGATTTCGACCTCCATTTCCATTTGGGTTTAAAGTCAAAACAACACGGGCGGATTCCCCCATCCGCGCGTTTCGCGCGTTTCATGTTGTGCAGGCCGACCCGAAATTCGAGACCTTCGATGCCTTCCTGAGAAAAAGGCAGCAGCTTGGCGGCAGATCGGCGGGTCCTGTTGGGATGCAGGGCTTGGTCTGCGGGTGTCCATTTTTTAGGGCCCCCCTCCCCTAAAATGGTGGGCATTCCTTTCGGTCTCAAATTTAAAACCCCCAAAAGCAGCTACCCTCAAAAAAGACACCCATTCCTAGTAAACATCATGGGCTGCTGTTATTCGTGCAACCCCGCCAAAAGGACCCGTGAGGCGGGTGGATTTTTCCGTGGCGCTTCCCCAACTCATCGCTTGCGTCTGGTTTCGAGCGGGAAGGTACGACGTCCTGGCCTTGCCGGGAAACCAGAAGTATGTGCCCAAGCCTCAGCTCGCCTCATGGCCTTCGAGACCTCGAGGTGGTGTTTCTTTTGTGCAACGACCCAAGCACGACCGCAAATCAGCGACGGGCAAATCACCAACAAATTAGTCAGCCACCAAGCCAGTCAGCTAGAGCATGTTGAAATCAACTCCCAAAAAAGGCGGTTTCAAAGGTCGGCTTTTGGGCCAATGTTCGGGTAGTCACCTTTTGGTGGGGTCATGCTTTCCGGTCAGACACACCGAGACCCTAAGAGAAAAACACCGCCGTCGCCTTTATCGATCATCGCAGATGGGTCGTCGCCGGTGGACCGAGGACTGGTCAGATCAGGAAAGGAGGCATGATGAAGCCTTCGCGGCCTGTTTGTCGTTCAAACTCAAGCCGCAAGATCTTTCAACCCAGATGGTAGTGGAAATGTCTTGTAGTGTTCCACTTCGGATTGGGATTAGTTGCAGTTGCATCCGGGTCCCCAAATTTGCACAACCCATTTGGGTGTGAGTTTGATCGGGGGGCCCCCAAAACAGGGTGGGTTTCCTGTTGGTTTCCCTTTAACCCCACAAAGGAGGGTACCAACCCAAAAAAGACACCTTTGTCGTTGTTTATGAAAGTCGCTTTCAGTTTCACGTTTGAGGGCTGTCTTTTTTGTTGGTGCTTTCCTTCAGGTCGGTGCATCGGTTGAATCGGTTTCGGCTATGAGTCCTCTTCGTTTTGGGGGGCTAGCATCTCAGACCAACAGACCCCTGGCTCATTAAGCGTGTGTTGTTTGGTTGCTTTATCCCAAACGGTTAACTTAACTTGCGATCGGTGCGATAGGTAGGGAATGAGAAATGGAATGACCTCGAAATTAACCATCCAACTGCTGGCTTCCTTTAAGGGAATCCCCAGGTTCATTATTTCAAAACCCTATTCCATAAGCACCAGCAAGAGCGCGGCCCTAGGCATCCCCTATGGTTTCCTTTCAGGTAGGAGGGAACCCTAGGGTCATTCCCTCATTCCCAGCAAGCTATATTTCGATATGCCGGGCCGGAGAGGTTTGGCAAACTCGGCTCACTTTCGCGCTTCCGGCGGTGAACCCCTGTGTGAAGGCCTCCCCCTGCCCCCGGCCTCGCGTGTATATAGAACCAGCCGCAATCAGAACCAGGTTGGGGTTTATCCAGCCACTCTTGTGATAGGGAATCCGCACTTGATATGGGGGGGTTAGTCCTTTTGTTGTATCACAGAAGTGGTCATTTCCCACAGCCCTGATCAAAACCACTTGCTGGGTTCCCCCCCTCTGCCAAACAAGAGTTCCCTTTTTGTGCCATGAAAACCGCTGGGTTTCTCGACAACACTTGGCAACCTTCCAAAAGCGTTCCGCTCTATTCAAAGGGGTCACTGGGCGACAGTTTTCCGCAAAGAGCCAGGAGAAGGTTGTTTCAGGTCCCAACCAGAAATACGTCTCACTCCCTAAATTGCTGGACTTGTGTCATTTCTTGGGGTCTGGTCCATTTTGGCGGTAAATGTAAAGTTTGGTCGCTTGTTCTGGCCAATCCACTCGATCGGAAGTGAGGCTATGACGTATGTCCTTTAGGTGTTGGTATTGAATTTTACTAGGAGCCACCCCCCAGAAGCGGTTGGTGAACATGCACCCCCGATTTTTGATGTCCGCCAAAGGTCCCGCCATTTCGATGTGTACCCATACTCCACAAACTTGGAACCCAGCAGGGTTCATTTTGAAGGAAAGTGGTCCTCGAGCCCTAAGTCAGGTCCATGCTGGATAGAGCAACCCTAGCAGAGGGTCCCATTTTTGGAGGGAAGGTGGTCCCATGACACCCACCAGAGGGTCCAGTTTTGAAGGAAGGTGGCCCCATGATCGTGGATAGGAGGGTAGCCATTTGCAGATCGGCGCAGCTTGGTGCGCTGACTTGGTGCCAGGATTCCGCCCTCGGTGTCGATCAAGCAGCAGCCGTGCGCAGGGCGGCATGTCATTGGCTTTGACAACGTGGGTACGTGTCAAAACCGGGGGACCCCGGAAAATGCTGGTTTTCCTGTTGGTTTACCTTGACACCCCAACATGGGTGCACTATGTGCACTCCAAAAAGGAGGCACAAGGCGAACGCCGCAAAACAAATACATTCACGTGTCAACATCTTCAAATACCGATGCTTCACTCGTGACGAATTTGGATTGCGCCGACTTTTGCTGCTAAGCACTTGCTTGGGAATCGTGATTGAAGAGAATAGCTTTTCTAAATTAAACTCCAGTAGTCGCAGGGACAGCGGCACAATGCATATGGCTGTAGCATCACCGCAGGATGGTAAACAGGCTTTCCCGAAAGTCCCATATTTTCTTACATCCTCCACATCCCCGCTGCCCATCCAAATCATCCCCTTCACAAGCCTGCGCTCATGGGTTTGTTCCCTTGAAGGACTCCACCTCCGCTCCAATCAACCGAAACTACCACTTGAAGACGTGCAGGTTTACATGTTCCCTAGCAAAACCCTGCGCCCTAAACTGGCGAACCCTCATCACTCGACCTCAAAGCCGAAACCCCGAAAACCCAAGGCCCTAAACCCATAACGCGGTGCCGCCATGGGCCATGGAGACGACGGATTCCGGCGAGCCGAAGGCGACGGATGCGGGTGCGGAAGCCCTCAAAGTGGTTGGTGTCCATGTAAGAGTGGATCCAGCTAGTCCTAGTAGCCAGGGGAAGCCATCTGCCTCGTATTGTAGTACTCTCCCAAGATCGCATGAGGTGCGTGAATTGAGTTCGGACACTTGCAGCCACTTGCAGCCACTCGAGTGGCCGCCAAAGAGGAAGAGCGAATGCCCTCCTGCAGCGCAGCGCTGTGCAGCCCGAGGCCGGGCGAACTTGCTGCGACTAGCAGGCAGGCCCGACGTGCCCTGGGGACGACGAGCCTTGCATCGCCTTCCTCACCCTTTCGGGAGTCTCTACCCGAAAGGCAACCATGCGTTCTGGGCAGTAGCCAGCAACTTCCACAACTACAAAACCTGACGCAAGATGTGAATGCCCAATTCACGACCTGCATCACGGAGCGCCCAAGATGGTGGGCTCGCCGTAAGGTCTACAGAAATATGGGAGAGGTGTTTACCTTACCCGCGCGAAACCAAGGGTATGGTTTTTTGTCAGGAGCTCTTTGTCCTTCTGTGGCCCTCTGCTTGGATGCTTTCTTTACATTTGCTTCTGTGTTGGCTTGGGCCGCTGGCGGCTCCCAGCAGGACTGCGGAAGGACAGCAGAAGAGGCTCGCTCCTGCAACAGACGCTCCATGCGAGACCTTGTGGCTCACTATTTTTGCCCTGCCGCCAAAATGCTAGTCCTCAATTCCAATGAAACGAGCGCAGCCAGGTCCTTGGTGGTTGGCCGACACTGTGCTGCTCGCGGCCGGTTGGTTGGTGGCCGCTACTACAAGCAAGTCTTTAATTAACACACGCCAGCGATAAGCCCTGCAAAAGTAAAAGGTAACGCGGAATATGTATGTGATTCCCATCAAGCTGGGCAATGCTGCATGACTTTTTCCCCGATAGAGGGACAGGGGAAGACATCCAGCCCTGATGACCTTTACTGCATGCCTCCCAGCGACTGCGCTGCGAGGGAAGGGGCGCGAGGCAATTCAGGCAAATCTTATCAGAGGTTACATGTGCTGCCTCCACCCAGTGAGCTCCCGACGCTATGCTGAGGCTGGCAGGCAATGGCTTTGCCGGATCACGGCAAGCGCCACGCAACCTCCTTTGCAACTCCGCTGCTCCCAAGATCTGCGAAGATTTTTGCAGATAGCTTTGCAACAAGGGCGCTGGTCTTCCCAGCCAAACAAGGCCCACGCCGGAGCTTGGAAACACGTACGTAGCCCACTGCGTCCCAAACCGGTCAAACAGGTGTGCAGATTTATGGCTGACAGCGAGCAAAACTATTGTTAAGTGATTTGAATGAGAAGCTAAAAATGACAGGCGCTGGGGCTGAGCCTGCGTCTTGTCCTTTTGACTTTGCTTTGCTGGTGCGCTCGAGATTGGACAGCTTCATTGCTTGTGGCACACTGCCAAAGTGACAGTGAAGGGAGTCCCCGATGACTTTGTGCTGTCAGACAATCAGGTACTTCTGCTCCACAGAGCCTACGCCGGTGCAAGCGGCCACCCTGGTCTGCTTATGAGGGACTGGGCCCACGAGCTTACGGCCGAGACGTGGGCGCCAGCATTCAGGCCGCAAACTGAGACCGGCGACAGAAGAAGGCCGCAGGAAGCGAAACGCAAGCGCGCGAGAGAGCGAGGGGCAGAGCGCTGGAGCTGTGAGGGAGCGGAGAGCGATGAGAGCGAGAGCGATGAGAGCGAGAGCGATGAGAGCGAGAGCCATGAAGAGCGAGAGCGCGAGCGGGAGCCTGAGCGGAGCGGTGGCGGGAGCGGGCGCGCGCGTGCGAGGTAATTCGCATGAGTGGCCATGGCCAAGTGGCCGCAAGTGGCTGCAAGTGGCCAACATCGAAATGACGCAACTTTGCGCGCCCCCTGCTTGCCTGGCTTTTTTTCTGGTCTTCTCAGCATCCGTTTCCTGGTTCCCTACTAGAAGGGCCACTGGATCCACGGGATTTGGTCTCTGGAAAGCAACTCCGAACGGACGCATCCAAAGGGGCGGGGTTCTTGCCCCGTAGGAAAAAAACAACCTCAGAAGCAGGTGGTTGTTGGACTCATGATGTTTCTTGATATCTTTCGGAAGGGATTTTTAGACATGAGATACACAAGGCGTTTTTTTGGCTGAACAGACAGACGAAATCCGGCACAAGTTTGAAGCCATGTGAAGCCAGTATTCGTTGGTATTTACAGGGAATCGCCATTCCAGGGTTCATAGCCTTGTCCGCAATCAGTGAAGGGGAGAGGCCAATTGCTTGAAACTCTAAGACTCAAGCCATGCTGGTTTGGGACCTGGCCATAAATCTTTAGCGTCGCAAAAACACTACCCCCTAGACTCCATGTCCCAAGAGGAGTTTCCTCTACACATGGGCGGGTGTTCGATGGGTTTCTTCCGGTTTGGGGAGTAGCATGAGCTCCGCTGCGGAAATCTCTCGGCGTCGCCGTGCAAGGCTCTGGTGCTGGGGGACGGCGACCTGAGTTTCAGCCTGGGAGCCCGAGGGACGAACTGGGCGGGCGCTCGGCCCAGCGTTGGGCATTTGGATAGCACCCCACAAACTAATGGCAGGAACCCCCAAAAAAGCAACCATTCGTAGACGAAACTCCTCTTGGCAAATGGACCCCCCATAAAAAGGGCAAGCCATGTTAATTTGCAGGGAGCATGTTGGAAGGGTATCCCTTTTCATAAGGAGACCTCCATCTCCTGGACACTCTGGTCGAACAGCCAGCGATTCTCCGGCAACTCAAAAATCCGAGTCCAGCGGCCAAGGGCCACGGGGGGAATTCGCCGATGGGAGGCCTCTCCAAGGGGAGATTTCCATATCACAGAGGTGGGAAAAAACACCCCTTGTTCCGGCTGACCTTCCGAAACGCTGTTGGCTCTTTTGGGCAACTTTGATTCTAGATTCGCTCAGCTCCAAAAGAAGGCCGTCGAGCTCCTTTTCTGTTAGGCCCACTTTTGCCAGAGTGATCTGTGATGTGCGAGCCGCTTTTCAGCTTCTTTTAGTCCAGCCTCACCCGCGCCAGCGGATAAGAGAAACAACCATCACCAAAATCTGCCTAATTATTTTGCGCCCAGACTTCATGCTTCCTTTTAAGCGCATGAAAGTTTTGTGCTTGGGAGCTAGGCCAACTATACTCAATAGCCAACCCTCAATGGTCCTTTGATCCTTGTAGGGGGGAAGGCTGAAGCTTTCCAACCGATTTTCGGCGAGGCAGGCGCTGAACGATATTCAGAGCCGGCAAGCCCCCTTTTAGCAAGGCCATGATTTACTCTTAGAGGTTTCCCTGACTAGTAGCTTGTTAAACATCTCGTATGTGGACTTAACTCAGTTAGCAACGGGGACAGATATTTGTCCCGCCAGCAAATGTCACGCCAGCAAATGTCTGCATTAGCGGGCACAAACTACTGCCGTAGTTGTACCTAGGTAGTGTCTTCTTTAAGGCTACTTATTTTTTAGTTGTATCACAAAGGCCCAAACGAAGGCGCTGGTCAGGGCCCCTATTTTGACAGACACCGAATTCAGAGTCTTCTCCAAGTTGATCACCAACAGACAAGGCCACAATCAGAAGTTGATGCTCATCTACAACAGGATTGCTCCGAGCCTTTCAAAGATGATCGACACAGGGTGGCCAACGCTTGGTTTCACACCTCTCGAATGGGCCGAATGGGGTTCAATCAACCCTGAAGGTTCACGACATCTCGTTGTTTCGTTCCTCTGACTTAGAGATTCATTATAGTTCAGGTTTGTAACAAGTGTAAGGTTATCGAGGGCGAGTATGTTTTCTCACTTGCCCAAAGCGAATCGACCGGATCTGAGCTTTTGGCTTTCTTATATAGGTCGATCTTTAGTCAAGGTTTTAAAAGGTCAACCTTTTCTTTCTTGGTCCTTTGGGCTGTCCTTGTATTCTGTATCTTTCTGACCCGAAGAAGTACTACTCTTGTCCACCACAATTTCATGTGCGTCTGCCTTTGGGGGGAGCCCCTTTTTGGGGAAACCAACAGGACACGCCCTAGCGCCATTTTCGGGGAGCTCCAGAAACGATTCGCCACCCGCCCGAGGCGCCGCCCTGAACGCCGAAGGCTTGAGGCGAGAGGATTTCTCATGTGGCAAGTGCCAGATGCAGAGCCCCCGGTTGCGAGAGGCCGTGGCTCTGCAGAAGAAACACACCAACACCCGAGGTAGAAACACAAAAAAGTAATATTAATCAGAATAATGATGATAGAGCAGCAGTAATGACAAACAACAAACATCACTCCCCCAGACACAAGTTATTGGGCATGTCCAAAACATCCTCAGTTGTTTTTTTTGACTTAGAAGGGATTTTGCCTTCTTCATGGGTTTGAGGCTAGCTTGTTGTTCCAGGTGAGAGTCCGTTTAGATTAAAGTTCAATTCTGACCACAATCCTACTTGGCAAGGAAGCAGCACATTTAGAATCTAATTCAACATAATATTTATATTGATTTCTAATTAACCATGTTATGCAAACTTAAAGCCTTTTTTTAAACATATTTCCGTCCTTTTAAGGGGCAGACAAGTTAGAAGAAGCGACCAGCTTGTCTTTCCACACCAGACCCTATGTAGATTCTACTGCCAAGCAGGAATGAAAAGGAAGATGCTCAGAGAATGGCAGCTACTGTGGCTTGAATGAGCAGCAGCAATTGCATGGTGCAACCATCCATATAGAAATTCACACGCCTAATGTGCTCAAGCGGCTCCAATCTAGGCGGATCCCGTTTTGGAAATTCACAGGGTTGCCCTGTTTGGGACACACACACACACACCCTGCTGGTTTTCAAGGCTGCACATCTCCATTTTGTTTGATAAAGTTGGAGACTCCTTGGTACTGGTAGTTGGTTGTTCAACGGAAGAGAGGTCAACCCCCAAGATAGCGGGTTGTTTACAGAACATGGACGAACTTTGATCAACCACTTACCACTGGGCTCTTATGGGTTTGTGTTTTGTTGGTACTTGCTCACCTTGGTATAAAAGGAATCCAAAAGGGCAGCCTTTCTTGGTCCCCAAACTTTTGAGACACATACCCTTTTAGGTCCATCCCCAGATTCCCAGACCACTTAGGGCCGTACTGCTGCGTGTTGAAGAAGAAGGGCCGACTTTAAGCAGACACCCAATAGAGGTCTGCCGCGTTTGGAAGCAGCGAACGTTGAAACAATGCGAAAGGCCCAAGTTTAGGGCAGGGCTCCAGTGTTTCCTTCGCGGTTGTGATTTCGTTTGGCGCCAATTTAGAGAGTGAATTGCGTGGGCTGTTCCTCATTCTTCCCTTCGGGTGACCAGCAGTGCCCCTTTGCACTTGGGCGTCAGGTAGGTAGGTTACTTCACCACGGTTGTAGGGGGACTAGTCTGACCAAGGATAACCTGCTTACTAAGTGGGTTGAACATCCAAGCTGTGATTAAACAACACATATTGCGGACAATCGCATCCACCAGAGTCCCTTTAGACCGGCCCGATTCAATCAAGGTTCCACGTGGGAAAAAGGATACGAGTGATGTTGAAACCAGTGGAGACATCCACAAAATATGGTGGTTGAAAGGCAACCCACCAGGACCGGTTCACCACAAGGGTTACATAAACCCTACTAGTTCATGTTGAGGGATCCAGTCGGTTGAACATCTTCCCCCCAAGACTTAAATGGAATTGGGGAAGGCGGGTGCCCCATGGAGATTCCGATGTGCAACTATCATTTTCCCGACTGAAGTCTAAGATGCATAGGCATCCTTTCTTGGTTGACCTGGTTGTTTTTCATGGGGAAATGTTAGGTCAAGCAGAGTAGGGAATGAGTCGGAATGACCCCTATAAAGCATCCAACTGGTGGTTTCCTTTGTTCGGGAATCCCTGGGTTCATTTATTCATTCCCTACCTACCGCACCAGCAGAGCTTTTTAGTGGGAGATCCCGCCTCACCCGCCTCCCCGAAGGCTGACGGCCACGACACTGGAGTCCAGAGAGGCGGTTCGAGCGGTTCGAGCGGTTCGAGCGGTGGCTCGTCTTTTTGGAGTTGGTACAGCCTTTGGTGGTGGAATCCCATTGCCCGGTGGATTGGTGCCCCTTTTTTGTCTCAGCTTTTGTTGGGGAAGGGTTCCCCTTTAAAGTCAATCAACTGGAAAAGGATGCCGATTCTTTTTGCCCTGGATGCACTGGGCATGCGAGTCTTTCAATAGGAAAACCAAAAGGACAACGGAAAGTTGCAGCGATTCTGGGGGTCCCCAAGTTTAAGAGCCCAAATGGACGCCCCAAGGCCCGCAGTTCGGCCACTTTTGTAGAACCACAAGTCCACGGGTTCTGGACGCTGCGCAAGTGCGGCCCAGCCCATTTCTTGTGGCATCCCCGAACTAGCCGATTGTCACCCAACGGAGAGGTTCCCAAAACCCTTGTAAGAAGTGGGTGGTGTTTTAGAAGGGGAAACAAGTCCCGTTCAAGAAGTTTCCATGAACCTTTTCCAGATTATGTTGAGGGTCTCCTCCAAACCTTTATTTTTTCGTTTAGAATGCAATAATAATATGATCCAGACACTGAACATGTTGTGATTTTCTTGGCACCCAGACGCAGAACTCCCTATATTTCATACCACATAAAACAAAAAAAAACAAAAAAAGTCACCCCCTTTTCAGCAGGTAACGATTGAAATAAGCACCCTCCAAGATGGCTGTGACAATGGGTTACCCTGGTAAATAGAAATCCAAAACGTGCCGTCCTGGGGGGGCTTGATTTTGACCCTCACCCACATGTGTTTTGCAAGTGTCTAAAAGCGCACTTCCTTCAATGCGACAAACACAAAACTGGGAACATGATCACTCTTGACTCGGCGCATGACACGGGGAAATCCGGGGACTCAGATGGCGCAGCTCGAGAGCTGCGATCACCGGCCATCGGCCTTCGGTTTTGGGGCCTTTGGCAGGACCTGGTGCGAAGGTACGCGAATGCGGGCGCCCACATCGCGGCCCTCGAGGGCGCCGAGTGCTCGGAAGTCTGCGGGTGGGTGGACGGGTGGGTGGGGTGGTGGCTGGGTGTCAAAATTGATAGAAGGGGATTATATGGGTTTGTCTCAAAATTATGCGCTCCCCCAAAATGGGTTTCCAGATATGATTTCCATTGAACAGCACCAACACATGGTACCCTTTGAAAAAAAAACAGATTGGTATTTGGTCCTTTGGTGCTCTTACAAGGGACAACATTCTGCCTTTGTGACAGTTGGAGCCCCGCTGCCATATGTGGGGCAATGATAATTACGATCATCTTTCTCCCATGATCATGAGGTGATTCGGATCAATGGTCCCCCAGAACCCCCATTCTAATCAATTTGGCTCTAGTGCCTTGGTGCTAAATTGCCCACAATTGTTCAATGTATCTAAAGGGCCACCAACACAGGACGCGTATTTTTGTCGTTTATCCAAATGCCTAGTTTCACCACCAAGTATACCCTCCTTCCAACAATCAAGCCATCATGGAAGTGCAAAGGGAGGTTCCCACATGGAAGCTGACCTTCCCATAGGGAGGGACCAATCCCGACAAGATTACGTTTTCACAAACCAGCCTTAACTTCCTACCCTGACACTCAGCATAGCTGCTGAAAGCAGCCCTTGCCCGAAAGCAAATGCAGTTGAGTGATACGCGCAACTTCACTAGTTGAAACGGGCATCGGTTGGGCAAAGCGCATCCCCAGTCCCACTTGTTATCTAGTCGTGAAAGACATTCCAAGGTTTAAAGCTTGGAATATCTTAAATGTTGAATATGTAAAGCCCTTTGCCGAAGAATGCCGGAAGTTGATGAGTCTGCTTCAAACATGACCCTTAGTGTTTGTTCTTCGCCAAGCGGAAAAGCGGAAGTGAAGCGGTTTTCGGGGCTAGGTGGCAAGTTACCGTGGACCCAGCAAATGTGCGACGAGCAATGCCCGCAAGCTCTCTTCTGAGAATGGCGGCAAGGGCCCGATGCTGGGCGACATCTTGAACAAGCCCCAGGCAATGTCTTGGAGAGGAAATCGGATGAAGAGAAGAAGGCAGACGCTGAGGTCGCAAAGCCAGCTGATGTGCAACCAGCTCTGAGTTGCCAAAGCCTAAAGCCTACCTTTGTTGTTTTTCGGGCAGAATGTGATGCTTCACGCGAAGCACAAGGACAAATACAAGGAGAAGAAATGAGTCCTGGATATGGCCGGGTTTGACCTGTTTTGACTAAGTTGAAGCTGACAATCCAAGCCCCGGCCAAGTGCTGGGATAAGACCGTGAGCTTGAGATGAAGGCGCTGGTTGGCTCGGTCCTGGGATAGAGTGAGAGAGAGTGGGAGTGAGAGTGAGTGGGAGTGAGTGAATGAGAGTGAGCGAGAATGATTGAGAGTGATTGAGAGGCCATACGGAAATCTACATGGACAGTGATTGTCTCGTAGTCTAAGGCGGGAGTTTGAGTGCTGAGCTACTGAAGTAGGAAAGCATTTTGCACGGTACATGCGGTAATCCTGGTTATCAACGGTAGTGTAACAAACCAGAGGCCTCCATGATATGCACGTGAAAAAGCGCCTCCCCTCAATGAGAAAGATTTGCTCCAGGAAAGCATTTCTCTTCGGGGATTGAGATTGATCAAGTGACGGCAAACTAAGGTTTGCCAATTTGGCGTGCCTTCAGTCAATCAACCCCAAATGTATGGGCCATGCTTGATTTGACTCCTAGCCGGCGGTTGAATCGCCACTTTGTTTGTTTCGCTCTCATTTGGTTTGCTTTCAAGACCCATCAATACGGGTTCTCCAAATGTTGGGACCCCAAAAGGATACGTTCCTCTGGCTTCTCGTGAGCTGCAAAAAGAAGACCCCAAGAAACATGACACATACATTCTTCCAAGACAGTGATAGAAATACCAGTGCAAAGTTCCACGGGTGTCAAGGGCCCCAATAGGAACCCCCCCCAAACCCAATAGGGGCGAATAGTGGCTAACAGGGCTCATCAGGGGCTAATAGGGTTCCTAATTTTGTGGGTCCCCTCCCTGGGAACCCCTGACAACCATGGGATACGGGACGCCCTTTCGCGCCGGTCGGTCTCCGTTTCAACGCCTCCCGCGAGCAACGCTTTGAGGCCGGCGCTCGCGTGCTGCACGGAGTGGACGCCACGCGCCTCAGGGAGACGTTGCCAGGACTCCGTGCGCCAAGAGCCACAAGCGAACCTGCGGATCCTCCAAAAGTGTGGGGCGTGAGGAAATCCAGCGGAATTGAGTCTTCGCATGGCTGTGTGATTTGAGGGGACCCACAAAATGGTGGTTGTGCCTTTTGGTGTCCACCCTTTCTCGCTGTCTGAGTTCATGGACTTTAGTCACTTTTGGGTCCGGGCCATGTTAGTGGTAATCGAACAGTGTGGACTGCTTTTGGCCAGCCCACTCAAGTGAGCTTTAGAGTCTTTGCATGGATTTGGGGATATGAAAGATGTTTTCTTTTCCCAGGTGAAAACCATGGGCATTCTCAGGATTGGGGAAGGGCTGCTTGGCTGTGGGGTCAAGCATGGCTTTGCTCGCCAGGAGATGTCGGGTCATTGTTCCACCGCATCATCTTCAACTTCCCGTACCAGGCTGCGGCCTCAAAGGCCGTTCGGAGCTTTTTCTGGTTGGGAAAGAATCGTCAAGCAAAGAATCCCCAGCTTGTGCACCCAATTATTGCTAAAAACAGATCGGTGTGATTTGGAGTTGTCCGCAAGACAACTAGAAGTTTCAATGAGTAAGCCCCCGCGCCCCCACCCCGCCGTATGAAGGCCACTTAGAGTCGACATATACGATATGTGTCCATCGCACCCCCACCCCCCCTCTGCCTCCTTGCGGTCGTCCTTCAATCCCAACCAGAAGGGAGTCCGTGGCTCCCCAAAAACACGCCTATGACACGGTTCCGCTCGACAGGAACCCAACTTGCCCCAAACCCCCCCCTCCCCGCCGTCCCCCTCCCCCAGGAAGAGAAAAAAGACATGTGTCCCTAG